GTTCATCCCATTATATCCAAAGTTATACCAAGTTATCCAAATATCCTTAATTATGTGAATTTTTGTCTTTTTTTTTCAGTCCGAGTTTTCAATTCAAAAAAATTTTTTTTTTCAAAAGCCGTTTACAGTTTCTTATAGAGAATACCGTGTAGTTTTCAAAACCGTCCTTAGATTTCCTATTGGGATCCGTGGGAGAGGCGTGGCTTAATTTTTGGCCGTCTGGTGGTTAAAAAGTAAACTAACGATTGTAGGATTCTGGATACAGCTGATGCTTGTAAATAAACGTGTATTTAGATAGGATATAAAATTAAATTAAAAATTGCGTGTGACCAAAATTTAATTAAAAATGCGTGTAAACTTACAAGAAATTTGTAAATTTACTTCAGCTACAGTTGCTAGCAAGAATTTTATTGATGAAGAAAATATTATTGATTGTGGTCATTTATTGAATTGTGGAAAGTGAATCATAGTGATGACAGTGATGTTTATCATATTCTTGCTTTTTGCTTACAAACAGCTGGTTTAAGAAATTAACCTCATTAAATTAATGCTCAAATCTCAAAGAACGGAAAAATAATTGGTATGGAATGCTCTTGCAAGGCTGGATTGGGAAGTACTTGCAAACATATTGTGGCAGTACTTTTATTTTGTAACCGGTAATTATGACTTTATCTTTCTTTCTTGTTCATTAATAAACTCTAAAATTATTAAATATTTATTAAATTATTGATTCTATTATTCTGTACTTACAGAAATAACTTTGAAGATTTCAAAGATATTACGTGAACAGATAAGAAATGTGCTTGGAATGCACTACCTTATGAATCAGCTCTTGAAAAATATGAGGCGAAGCTTTTATTTGAACACAAATGTGTTAAAGAAAAACAAAAAAAAAGATGAAGATAAAGTTAAAATAAAGAAATCTATCAGATCACTCTAAGGCAAATACGTCACTCCAAAAGAAGCTGCTACTGATCCTCCAGTATGTTTAAGCATGGGTTTAACTGAATTAGATGAAGCAGAATATGAAGAATTTCTTAAAATAATGGTGGAAGAAAATTCTTCATCAGCTTTAGCAAAACATTTTTAAATAATTTTTATTTTAATTAATTTTGTATTGATGTTGTTTTTTGTAAATAAGTAGTTTACATCATCAATTTTATATTTGACTTCGAAATGATTTTTTTTTGTAAATAGTTTACACCATCAATTCTTTATTTTTATGTGGAGAATATTACATTTTTATAATTATATTGATGTACGTATATTTTTTATAAATGTATGATTACGAAATTCACTTTTTGTATTGCTTATTTTTTTTTTTTTAATAAAAATTACACTGTATTTTGCTATTTTATTGATATTAACATTGTGTTAAACATGATTCTATCCTACAATCGCTAGTTTGAATTTAAACCACCAGGCAGCGTATTTAAATCCTCAGTTCCCCAATACGATCATTATTTCCAGAGTTATTGATTATCAAAGTCAAAAAAAACTTTTTTGCTTTGATTGACGATAACTCCGCGGCAAATCATCGTACAGTCTTTTTGATTATGTCAAATTAAAGGGTATTAAATATTCTAAAAGAGCTTTATAAAGAAACAATGGAAAAAAATTTTTTTGATGCCCGTAGACCTTTTTTTAGACGAGAAAAAATTTGGAAAAATTTTTTTTCGGTAGTTTTCTTAGGATTTCTCCAGACCTGGACAGGACAAAAAATTTTCATGGTCATGTCTGAAAACTAGACACTTCGAGTTACAATTTGTTTTTTTTTATTTTTTCAGTACGACCATTTTCCTCGGAGTTACAGCTCGTTGAAAATCACTCAAAAATTTCGAATTTTTTTTATATCCCTTAATTTTTGTGACTAGTGTAACATATAAATCTTAAAAAAAAAAACGAAATTTTTACGTCAATTTATTCTAAAACATACTTGAGACTCTTTTTTGATGAGACAGAAAATACCGGAAATCCAAGAATTTTTATTTTTAAAATAAGTCCTCTTGAAATAAGTCGGTAATATCTTGTATAGACGTCCTCGTGTATTCCAGTCATCGAAAAAAAAATTTTTTTGACAAATTACAACCCGAGAAAAAATATTTATATATAATTATATATATTTATATATAAATTGGTTATATATGATTATATATGAAAAATGGCCAAATATAATCATATCTAATTATATATAATTATGTATAATTATATATAACTATATATAACAATGTTTAATTATATATTTATCACATCTAATTAATTATTGGGTTAATTTTACGGATAGAGTATTTAATATGGTCCTACGCAATTCTGTGTAACCGATCAAAATGCAAAAAAAATATCTAGATCTAATTTTATGGCTATAACACCAGCGGTCACCCATCCAACTACTAACCCTACTCAATGCGGCTCAACTTTGGTGATCTCCGTGCGTCTTGAAGTTTCTATCTGCTATGCTGCTATTTTAGACAATAATGATTCTATGATCTACTTAATGCATCATATGAGTTTATCTTAAATATAATATAAAAATTGATTTTATAATATATTTAGATAGTCATAGTTCATAATTAATTTATTTTAATAAACTATTCATAAAATAAATAATGATTTTACTATTACGTAGGGGCAGAGCAGACAAAACATCTCATAGAAAATATGACAAATTTTGTATTTCAGAATTATGTAAACGTAATTATAAACATCATTTTACACTTTTCGTAATTACCAAAAAAAAATTTTTTTTCAAAGAAAAAATTTTTATATATGTTAATTATATATAAGCATATATAATTATATATACTTATATATAATTAGATATGGGACTATGTATAATCTTGCATGGCTGTATATTGCTCCATATATAATCATATATAATTATATAAAATCATACATGATTATATATGGAATTGAATGTTAGGTTATATATAATCATATATAATTAGATATGACTATATATGAAGCAATATACAGCCATGCAGAATTATATATTGTTCCATATATAATTATATATAAATATATATAATTATATATAAATATTTTTTCTCGGGAGTGACTTCCCAAAACTATAGTTTCACTGATAGATATATTTGTAGAAGTAATTTGTATATGTATAAGAGAGTGATAAACAAACTTACTTGTTAACAATTTTTTTCAATATTTTTTTTTGGAGAGAAATAAACATTTTTAAAATATTCACAATATGTATCAGTATTAAATTTATCATTTTTTATTCACATGGAAAATATTTTTTGAGCAGTTTTGAGAGTTTTATACATTTTTCAGCAACAAAGAAATGATAGTTAAAAATAAT